AGATAATGGATGGATGGATGGATATTAAGCACCATCTCTGATGCACCACACTTCAGATCATTGGTCAGAGACCCATCTCTCGTCACCGGTGATGATCCTTAACATGAAGCTTGGCTCATCTCGGCTGCTGAGTGACACACAATGTGATGTTCAGTTCACATGCACACACTCAGACTTTTTGATTGACCCTCGTTCATAAACAATATCGGCTGCTATATCGATGCCAGAGTTTCTTACTCCCTAAAGTTGGCATTGTTCGCAAAAATCTAGTGTCTGCAAGGCTCTAGAAAGCACCCTTAGAAATGAGGTAGAAACATTCATCCATCCATTATCTATACACCGTTTTATCCACACTAGGGTCTCGGGGGGACTGGAGCCTATCCCAGCTGACTTATGGCGAAGGCAGGGGACACCCTGGACAGGTCGCCAGTCTATCGCAGGGCTACACTTAGAAATAGACAACCAAGCACACTCACATTCACACCTATGGACAATTTAGAATCACCAATTAACCTCCACATGTTTTTGGACCTTGTGGGAGGAAGCCGGAGAACCTGGAGAGAACCCACACTGCACGGGGAGAACATGCAAACTCCACGCAGAAAGACGCGAACCGGAGACCTTCTTGCTGCGAGGCAACGGTGCTACTAACTGCGCCACCTTGCAGCCCGAGGTAGAAACAACTGAAGCTAATTTGGGAAAACCATAAGACAAAAACTACTGCCCAGACAATGAACAAAGGAAGCCAAGTATTAAGATATCCCTACAGTTCATTGTCCCAGTCCATCCACGGTTATTAGTTCTGTGGTGAATTTGCTGAGCTGTGCACCATTAGGTCAGCAGGTGAAATCAACACATTGCCACGTGCCATCAAACTGTCACCGTAAATTTGAACGAACTGGAGGTAATATATCCCCAGATGGTTTCGTTGCCACAAAGGACTTCACCCTTGTCACCTACACACAATGTCGGAAATGTGTTGGCCGCGTTAAAAGCCCTCCCGTCTGCCCTCTGTCCTACATCCATCCCTGGGAGACTGGCCCTTCAACCCTGAGCCTATGAACCAAACAGTCATCAGCATGAATAATGAATCTGCTCTCTTCTTCCTTTGCTTAATGTAACACCACCATATGTGTATTAAAGGCACACATCCAGAAACCCTGAGACAGTTAATTATTAATGCCCGGCCTTTTGACCTCTGAGTCACCACAAATAAGCTGCTCGATAAACTTTTCACACACAAGCGCAGACAGGCACACGTACTAGAACACAGGAAGAAGAGGGCGAGATGTTTACCACATGGCGACTGATCTACCAGTGCTTAGTTAGTCATTGACTGCATATCGGTTACTAGTTGCATACTGTAGATTGTAAAATGAGCCTGTTCACACAGAAACACATTGTTTTGAAGCTTTTCCTAACATGTATTTTATTGGAAGAGCTCATGCGTTCACCTTCTCTGGTCAAAGATTTCCCATGAACTAAATGTCCTCTCCTAACTGTTATTTATTACAGTGCTTTTATTACATTAAGTCTTTATTTTATTGGATTATGGGTTTGGTAATTACTCTTTTTATGATTTATGGTGTTTTTATTGTTCACATGCTGCAAAAAGAATTTCCTTGTTGTGGGACAAACTCCGAGGTGAACTGAACTGAAAAAAAAGTGCCCAGGGAGAGCTGCACTCCATTCCAACCTACTTTTTAATTGCAGTCAGTCATTATTTATCTCTCCCTCTCTTGCGACAAACCCACCTTCTTTAGTGCACATTACATTCTCTCACTGTCTGGATGAGGCCTTATCGTATATGTGGCTGATTGAATGGAAACATCGACCTGGACAGCCATGGTCACTGCTGTGACTAATCCTTCAGACCTGTGAACAATGGAGGCTTGATGTAGCCTCGGTTAATCTGCAACCAAGAGGGACACGCACTCTCGCTTCTCTGCTGGAGCTGAAATCTGAGACAATGAGCATCTCTCTCACAGACTGGTTGTCATATCGCTAAACAATAATAGGAAATTATTTTAAAAGGCCAATTTTCTGAAAATACTTAACCAAGCAAAAACAAAAAAAAAAGAGGGAAATTGTGTGTGTTTATGAGATCACTCCTCGGCATCAGTTCATTAGATTTTCAGTCGGCTTGCTCTCTGCAATCCAAAGAAGTCTTAGCGGAGACGTTGACTCAGCTGCCGGTAACGTGGAAGTTTAAACTACACAAAAACACATAAATTAGTTTTGCCAAATTTTTGTTTTTGAGAATAATGGGAGTGTCAGAGTGCGAGTAACAATCGCGTTGAAACTTCTCAAGAATTTTGATTTGTGTGTGCGCGGGAGGTGCGTGCATGTGTGTGAATTAGGGCGTATCCAATTTTGTACCCCTTGCTGTGGATGGTACAGGAAAGCCAGTGGTATGAATCATTCATGGCGGAGACAGG